ACACACACACACACACACACACACACACACAGCCTCTCGACAATATGCGTTTTTGCTGGCTGTAGTGGCAGCGTTGTAGCGCTGTACAGCAAAAACTCATAAAAATGTGCACGTTGAAGGTTCAGGCGGCCTTGTAGTACAACATTACCATCCCAATTGACTTCCTTTTCTCCTTGCACGCAGGAGAAGGTCAAAAAAGAACTAACAAACAGCGACATGTTCAACCACAACGCAGAAACTATACCTTCTGCAAACGATCTAAATTCTTCAAATATAGAGCAAAAACGCATGATCACATCTGCACGTCTGACGTGTTGTAGCCCGAGTTAATATTAATTTTGTCACTAGAAACTGTTTTATACAGAACCTTAATAAATTTTTATGCATTTTTGCGTATATGCAGACGCAAAAACTCATGCTGTGATGACTCCGGTATATGTGTCTGTCTGTCTGTCTGTCTGTCAGGGTATTTCAACTCGGCAATCAAGCAAAACTTTTCCAGTGAGTTCTCAGCTAAAGTGCCACCCAAGAACAGCAGTACCAACCCTCACGGACGTCTAGGCTCCGCGTACGGACAGGTGAAAGCTTTGTCGGGAAAATTGCTAACTCAGGAACCAGAAAAGCTGGAAAGCTAAAATTTAGCGGTCGTGTTCTCCGCCCATATGGAACTCAGAGGTTTCAAGCTTAGCCACTCTGTGTGCGTGATTTTCAAGTGCAGCGCCCATGAAAGCTTTTGATGGAAAATGGTTAATCTGAAAAGTTAAATTTGAAGTGGATGTTCCTAGCTCGTGTACAACTTAAAGTTATCAAATTCAGCCCCTTTGTTTAAGTTGTTTTCGAGTATGGCCTGCGAAATTTTTTGGCGGGAAAATGGCTAACTGGGGGAAAAGCTGGGAGGTTGAAATTTATGCTCCAGCCCACGTACAGCTTAAGACTTCAAATTCAGCCTCAGGCATTCGTGTTTCTCAAGTGCGACCCTGTGAAATTCTTTGTCGGGAAAATGGCTAACTCGGAAAAAAGACAAAAAACTAAAATTTTGAGGGCATGTTACCTAACCAATTACCATATATTTGCATAATTAATTTCCTGAACTTCGAGGACCAGTCTTCCACAAATTCTAGCCACTGGGACTCCAAGCGATCTTACAAAAGCACGAAATACTGCAAACACGCATGATCGCACAGACCCGCCCGATGTGCGTAGCCGATGGTTTGAGATATTACCATTCTAATTAGATTAAAATTAAATATTATCCAGTCTTATCACCTTATTATGAGCAGTGAATGACCCTAGATCTGACCATTGTTTATGACTGTGGTGACTCCTCGTAATAAAATGCACGGTTTTCACGTGATTCATGCTTTTATCCTGAATAGGCTGTATTATATATCACTAACTGAGTTTGCACTTTCCGTGCCTACCTTGATTAATCGTCTTTCCATGATACACATTCAGTGCTTGACGGGCAGAATGTGGTGCAGTATCTGTCGGGCTGTCTAGGAGGAGAATGATGGCATGTTACTGTACCGCAGTTGCAAAACGAATTTGGCGTTGCAGTGTGATCTTACAGATAAAACAAAAAAGGAAAGGTTTGCGCTCTCCCTGCAGTTAACTCGACTTTGCGAGCACACCTCGTATGTGCGGGGGATACAGATCCAGTACTTCGCTTTAGGTACCAGGCTGCTTTGTTTAGAAGCACATCTCGGCTGATATGTGTGATTCAGCGATGGCTTTAAAGCTCCTGTATTTTTCTGGGATGCCATGTAACATGACAGCAAAGTTATTAGAATTAGCTTGGCAGGTGGCTACAAATCGCCGTGGGGCAAAATCCGAGAACCCTAGCTGAGGGCTGTGTTCCTGGTGCATCGGCAATGCACATGGGGTCCGGAAGTGGAAATGAACTAATAGACGCCCTGGTAGGGCTTTGCTTACTAGTACAATTTCATTTCTATAGGGCTCAAACTGTCCCGTTCATCTCAAAAAATAACATCAAATAACTTGACCCTAGCGCTCCCTGGTTGTACTTGAATAATCAGTTCAGTAACCCAAATTCGAGATTTATTTTGCAAAAGCTGCATTGCGACGGAACTGTCTTCAATTGATTTAACTAGTGAAATTGGTATTCATTAAGGTATTAGAGTGAGTTGACAAAATTGCAAATTTGCCTGAAAATTAAAAAAAAATTCAACCCAAAAATTCACAAGTTGTTAAACACAATAATCATCAGAAATGCTTTTCTTCAAACCTGAAAATTCCTTTCACATTTGGTTCCTGCCTTCTGATAAATCAGTGTTAGGCCGGAGCATATTTCATTCAGCAACAGAAGGAAATATTCACTCCTCATATAGTTTAGGAATTTCGTTCACGAGAACTATCCACGGCTATAAATTGCCTTTTGTCCCATTGCGCAGAGCGCTTATTTACTATCGTCGTAATGATTCCAAATAACAGAGTCGCAGCAAAATCCTGTTTTGTTTTTAAGCAACCTTTGAATGAGATAGTCGTTATCAGTCTTGCCTGCGAGTGGTTGCTATTAGTATTTACTACTCTCGGAATACCTTCAAGTGCTTCTGCCTCTCACAAAGAGCAAATATGGAGGAAGTATTCACTTTTGACTTTAATGTCCTTAACTGAAAAAGGTTGCAAAATTGAATAAAGCGCAAAATTTTGGAAATTCCGATCGGAGTGTGAGCGTACCGGAAAAGCATTTAAATGGCAATCCATGCCTCTAACAGGCACTCATCGTTTTTTCGGTGGACGTGCGTCATTTCTTCAAAGATTGCCCGAATGGTCGTTTACTTTCGAGCTGGTGCTAAATAAAAATATGCTGCAAGATATCTCAAAATTTTCGCGGCTTCGTCCATTCTCAATTGCAGGAGTGAATCAGAAATCCTAACAAAAATAACGCTGGACTGTGCTAGCTTTCCTGTGCGCATTAACTGCTATTTATTACTTCTATGAAACACGTCCTCCTCACTGTGTGAGTAATCGTCATTCAGTTGCTTTGAAAACTAAAATTTATCACTATCAGCATCATCTTTTCTTACAACACCATCTCTGTTTTAAATGCTGTTGCCAGCGTTATCGTCCTTTATGATAGTCATTGCCACTGCCACTGTTCTCATAGTAAGTGTTTCGTTATCATCACTTTCACCATCATTATCAATAGTATCATAGTTGCTGTCGGCTATACCGCTGTATCCATCATCATCACCATTATTGCTAGCATCACTATAATTGTTATCTTTAATAACTGTTTCATCATTATCAATATTTTAACAATTTGCGAACATAACAAAAGCTTGCATACAAAACAGCAATCAGGAATATCCATTAACAGTGCAGTGGCGTTGCAATAACAAGCCTTATTTGGAGTTGCGTCATTCTTGAACAACAATCGCTTTTTTCTCATCGTGTCTCTGAACACGTCTTTTAGTTTGTTGAATCACCCATCGATTTAAGGAATTTGAACATTCGTCACCACCACTGCCGAACACCACTCACTCGCTGATCCAACTTTTTCGTTTCCATCGGTTTCTCGCTCCCGACTCCCATCGTAGCAATCAAATCCACTTGCCGCTTCCTCCTTCATTAATTAATTCTACAGCAGTTTAAAACACCGTCCGCTGACCATTTCTAGTTATATTGCCAATTGCCCTTTCTAATGTCAAAATAAAGGTCGCTATCACGACGTGATGATCGCAAAGGACTAGGCGCTGTCGTAGCGGCGCAGATACATTCTCGATATTTTTTCTGTTTTCACTTCTCTTAAAAATTTCTTTTTCATAACTCCAAAAACCGTGTGCTGTTTCAGTGTTAAACGGTATTTTGATTCACATTATGTGGTACTGACCAGTTTGTTGACTTTACCAGTGTGTTTATTTCAAAATACCTATGTTTTAAGAAGAAATCGTCTCACTGCAATGTAAACAAGTGTCACTGCATGCCGAACATTGTTTGCTTTTTTCTTATCTGTCGAACAAACGGACTTCAGACTAGCAACGTGAAAATTCGTTTCCAGATAGTTATTAGAACAGCAACTGTACAATATTGTTGCTCTCGCTTATTAGTTCTTTATGTCCGGACACCCTCTCTTTATACACTGGTGCTTCATGCCATTCCTTTCCTTCCCACTCTTTTTGCGCAAAAATTCTTATGCATTTTGCAGTGGTAACAGCAGCACAAAACGCATATTGTTGCTCCCCTGTCTGTGTTTTTGTGTGTGTTTATGTGGATGTATGTGTTTCCGAGTGCTATTTGTCCCCCAAAAACTTTCAATTCAGGAACCACAAAAGCTTGGATGAGATTTTAAGAGAATATTTTCCATCCACGTGTGATCCCGCAAATTTAAGTTCTAAATTCATTCATCATGTTCCATGGTTACCAAATACGGCTGCGAGAAAGTTTGGACGAGAAAAATTACTGTCTCGGGGATTACAAAAGCCAAAGCGCTGAAATTTTACGCGAGCGTCCGCTCTCACGTGCTACCCCGCAGATTTAGCTTTCACGCATGCTTGGCCACCATGTAAGGCCATGTGAAAATTTTGACGGAAAATTATCTCTGGAACGAGATGAATTGGGAGGCTGAGATTTCAAAATGTTGTTTACTGCCTGCGCAGGGATCTCTCAACTCAAACTTAGCTCTCGTCTAAGACTAGGAAAATGTGTGACCAAAGGATTCAAATTCAGCATTTACGTATACTTGTGTATCAATTTTTAGTGGAAAATTTCGCAGCTTATGAACACGCAACATATTGATTATTTTTGCACACATCAAAGTGTAAAACAGTAAAAATTCCTAACGGCAGACGTCGGCTAAAAACGTATGATGGCACTAACTAGCCAGGTCCGTGCCAGACTAGCCAGTTATTTTTATATCCTCGACGTTTAGTCCCCAGGTTTAAGCGAACTTTGCGACTCCTTGTTCTGTTTCTAGAATGTTTCGCTATCAGCATCAGTTCAATGGCACAATTCAGCAGCAGTCCGATTTCGACGCGCAGCAAACTGCTGAGAAGTTGCATGAAGCAATGAAGGGATTCGGATGCAACAAGGAAAGTGTGCTGCATGCGCTGACCTGCATCAGTAATGGACAAAGACAAGAGGTATGCTTTTCATGCGTTTTTGCATATATGCAATTGCAAATACGCATATTGGCAAGAGGCTGTTTGAGTGTGTGTTTGTGTGTGTGTTTGTGTATTCGCGCCTTTTATCACCAATTTTCAAATCAAGAACCAAGAAGGCTAGAAGGCTGAAACTTTGAGAGTATGTGCCCATACCATGTGTGACTCTCCCCTTTTAATACCATCACCGGCGTATTCCTGAGTCTCAATTACGATGAACGCCTCAAAAAAATATGAGAAGAAAAATCTCGAGTACCAGACAAGATAGCGAGCTGAAACATTGCAGGGATATTTTTATAGATCTGTGAGCTAAGCATTTCAAACTCAGCCCCGAGAAGTCTGTGGTTCACCAAGTACGAGCACCTGAAATTTTTAGCGAAAAAATTACGAACTCGGTAACCAAAAAAACTGAAAGGTTGAAATTTTAAGGGGATTTTCCCTTTAAACATACAATTTAAAGATTTTAAATCCAGCCCTCAGGCACGCATGTTAATCACTTACGAGCACGTGAAGGTTTTGGAGGGAAAACTGCCAACTCTAGGATCAGAAAAGCTAGAAGGTTGAAATTTTAGGAGAATATTCCCTATCCAAATATAACCTAAGGTTTTAAACTCAGCCTCCAGATATGCGTGGTTCTTGCGTACGGACACTTAAATTTTCTGGCGGGAAAACCGCCCTTTGAACAACTAGGTCATTTTCAAAAAAAGACCGCTTAATGGAAATTGTTTATTTTCGTTCATGCAAAATTTACGATGATTTACAGCAGTGAACGCGCAAGGTAGGTGTGAGGCAATAGCCATTCATGCAGTTAACTGATTATTTGAAATTTGGTGCAAAAACGCATGATCGCACTGGCAAGTTTGGTACTTTCCAGCCTGGGTTTTAAACTTTTGAATATGATAATGATCAGCCGCTGAACAATTTTTATGCGTTTTGCGCCGCGTAGCAGCAGCACAAAACACAAAATTTCACGGGGCTATTGTGTTTTTCTGTTTGTCCGAGATTTGGTCCCGCACTATCAATTCGGGAATAACAAAAGCTAGGCAGCTGGAATTTTAGTGGAGTGTTCCCTGTCAGCGCGTGATGCCGTAAATTTAAATTCGGCTCCCCGTATGTGCGGGTGACATGTACGGCCCCGTGAAATTTTTGGCGAAGAAGATTATTATCTCGGAAACCACTAAAGCTAAGAAGCTGAAATTTTATGGGTATTTCCTCTGCTCACTTATGACTCATAAAATTTAAATTCGATCTTCCTGTGCCCGTGGGTAATACGTGCGGCCCCGTGAAACTTTGGCGGGAAAAATTATTATCTCGGAAATCATGGAATCTAAAAAGCTGATATTTTACGGGCGTCCTATGTGCGTACGGGGCCTTGTGTCACACACAGACGCCACACATCACCACACCCTCTCCCTCTCTTCCCCCCCCCCCCCCC